TTTGTTTATTTGTCATTGTCAGTCTCTAAAGGGCATGCATAACTTCAGAGCATCTGGAGACTACGACAACGACAGCAGTGCCCCTTTAACTCCACTGTGTACACAGCCAGAGCAGGTCATCAAAGGTAAAAGACCATCTGTGTGTGCCAGAGCGGGCACCTGAGTGTCAGATCAGTGTTGCCTATTGGTTAAAACTCAGGGATGGTAACTGTAAGGTTGCTGGTTATATTACTGAGTGAGCCATGAGCAAAATATATAAGGAACTTATTACTTTGGATCTGTTTAATGACTGATTTCTAATCTCACTTGATCAAAATGTGCTAAACTGATTTAATCTTTGACTGAGAGTTTGACTGAATTCAATTTCAGGAGGCACCAGCATTGTTCAGTGTCATATTCTCAATGACAAGAGGCACATACTCACTAAAGACTCCAATGACAGTGTGGCATTCTGGGATGTCCTCAAGGTAAGAGCAGATCATGAGAAGCTTTTGTGGCATCTTTAGGCCAAATGTTATTTAATCTCGCTCTGTGTTTTGTAGGCATGTAAGGGGGAAGACCTGGGTAAAGTGGACTTCGATGAAGAAATTAAAAAGAGGTTCAAGATGGTCTATGTGCCGAACTGGTTTTCTGTAGATCTCAAAACAGGGGTGAGTATTAGCATCTAGTTTTTCAATTAATAATGAGGGTGAAGATGAAAGATAATGAATGTTGAGTCTGTTCTTGCTGTTTTTCAGATGCTGACCATCACGCTGGATGAAAGTGATTGTTTTGCGGCGTGGGTGGCAGCTAAAGATGCTGGTTTTACAAGCCCAGACGGGTCTGATCCAAAGTGTAATGCCTTCTTCTAAGTGCATGGTGGTTTAAGTTAGCAGAATATCTGATATTTATGCTGCAAAAATGACATTCTTGAAGCAAAACAAAAATAGGGGCTAGACTATATGTTTGCTAATTATGGTCTTTTTTGAGTAACTTGTATGAAGAATTGTATGATTTGTTTTGTTTTTTTGAAAATCTATTTGGTGCCACTAGGGGTGCTGCAATTACACACTTCACCTTTACATCAAGCTAGAAATGCATTTAATTTAGCTTTTTTTTTTTTTACTTCAACCTTTTTGTTGTGAGTACATTTAGAAAACAAGATGATGATACAGTGTGTGTATGTTTGTTTGTCATTCATATTCTGACATTACAATATTAGCTCAACAGTGAGAATTATGTAACAACTGTTCTTTGTGTTTATTTGTGTGTTTCAGTGAATCTGGGTGGGCTGCTCCTGCAGGCGCTGTTAGAGTTTTGGCCCAGAACTCATATAAACCCAATGGAAGAGGAGAAAAGCGAACTCAACCATGGTAGACTTTTCTTTTTTTTTTTTTGCAAAGGAATATTTGAATAAAGGCAATAATAATAATTATTATTATTTTTCAGGAATTATTTTCTGTTAATACTTTTCAGTAGTGAATCAATTTTTCTTATTAAATAGCAGACTCTAGCCTGTTATTATAGTTAATCTTAGAATATTTTTCAATGCATTCTGGGATTGCCTAATACACATGAATGCATGCAGTTATTTATTAGTGGTTTCAGAGCTTTTTCTTTTTTAAAGCATAATGGCTTTGTTTAAAGCATAGTTAGCTGTTTACTTCTCATGCAGCGATTCAGTAGAATTTGCCTTTATTCTAATAATTCTACTATAAATATTTTAAATAAGATTTTTAGTAAGCAGGTATTTTCTATTAATACATTTCTCTTAGTTCTTTGCCATGTATACTACTGACATTTCCCTATCAAGAAAGAATGCGTGGAATTTTTTTTTATTAAGCAAAGCCTGGTCTCTGAGCTAATGGAATTCATGGAAATCTGCGGTTGGTTTCTGACTTGATCATTTTCTGTGTGAATTTCTCTTTAGTGAACGGTGAACAGGAGAGTCAAATTCAAAAGGGCAACGGCTACTTCCAGGTTCCTCCACACACTCCTGTCATCTTTGGTGAAGCAGGAGGAAGAACATTGTTTAGGTCAGAATGACAGTGTCCAGTACTGATGAAGACATTACACTCTTCTGACTTTCCTTCCTGTCTTCATTATAAGCCACATTTCTTTCCAATTCCAGGTTACTGTGCCGTGATTCTGGAGGAGAGACGGAGTCCATGTTACTGAATGAAACCGTACCTCAGTGGGTTATTGATATCACTGTAGATGTGAGTGTTTCAAATCCCCCAATCATCCCATTATGTGTCCATCATATGTTTGTGATTGTATATTGACTGCTTTTCTTTTCTGCTACAGAAAAACATGCCAAAATTCAACAAGATCCCATTCTACCTCCAACCTCATTCATCATCTGGGGCCAAAACACTCAAAAAGTATGCTGTGTTTGTAAACGTGACAAAATGGAAAAGCAGTAATTAATAAGGGCTATGCTTAGCAATTCACATTTTATGACACAAATGCAAATTGAAGTGTAAAACCAATACTTGGATGCAAATTTGCAACAATATTTTGGTGATTATTCATCACAATCGGTTGTTTTCAGGGACCGTCTGTCTGCTAGCGACATGCTACAGGTGCGGAAAGTGATGGAGCACGTCTACGAAAAGATCATCAACCTCGACACAGAGTCACAGACCACCAGCTCCTCAGCCACTGACAAACTGGGAGAGCAGGAGAAGGAGGAAGACGTGGCAGTGATAGCCGAAGAGAAGATTGAGCTCCTGTGTTTAGATCAGGTTAGACCTCCTATCAGACCTCTTTAACTGCTTCCAGACAAATGAAAATTACTAGAGACTCATCTCTCCAATGTACTTACTGTTTGCTGTTCAACATCTTATTTTCCTCAGATGCTGAAACGAATTTAAATGAGGTGACCGTTATTTAGTTTTGGTTGGTTGTTGGTTGTTAAGCAACTGGCTGTTAACATTCACACAGCTTTTGTGACACCAGTAACCTTTAATAATAAGATTACAAGTGTCAAACATTGATTAACCCAGGGTTAAAGTTGCCTAGGTAAACAGTGTGAAAAGATACTTAAGTTTAAGTAAATCCTTCACTGCTATACTTTTTTGGTGACTTTCTGTTACATTATTTACATATACTTTAATAATGCTGAATTGCACTAAATGTTTCAGGCAAGATCATATAATTTGCATTTTGTTCCTAATTAGTAAACAAACAAAATTAATTGTTAAGGTCCTTGCACATTTTCGTATGCGTTTTTTCGGGTTTTTTTCCTATTCGCCATCATTTCCTATCAAAATGCTTGCTACGGAAAATCAAACCTGGTCCGAATTTTATGATTGACACAACGTGAGGTCCTAGTTATTTTTCAACGTGCGAAAATTTCGAATGAAAAATTCGGACTCAGTGTGCAATGGCCTTTACACTGTGAAAAGCTTGTTTGTACTCTATTGTTAATGTTTTCTGTCGTTTGTAGGTTTTGGATCCAAACATAGACCTCAGGACTGTAAAGCATTTCATCTGGAAGAGCGGTGGAGACCTGACCCTTCATTATCGACAGAAATCCACGTGAGCCCCTCTGATCTCTGTACAGACCCCAGTCACCTTCAACCCACATCGCTTTGACTTCCAGAAGAAGCGTCCCAGAATGCCCTGCTGTTCTCAGGTCTGATGGTCACCCAGGAGGAATGTTTCTTCTCTTTGCATTGGCTTAAATGACAGAGCCAGCAGAAATATCTGACCGACAGTTGAAGGTTAAAGACTAAAGACTGACTGCTGATTGATGCAGTTCTGTGAACTACGACTTCAATATTTTTCTGCCTTTATTGCATTGATTATATTTTTTTGTATATTTATTACTGTTGTGTTCAGCGACATGTCATGTCCATCTTAACACAAGTCATGATGATGATGATGATGATGCACACGAGTACTTCCGATCTCAGACATTCCAGACTTTCATCCAGATCCAGATCCAGATCAGTTACTCTTTGTTATTGTGATGATTTGGGACCATGCTTAAAATATCACAATGCCAAAAAAAAAAAGTCTTGATGCAACCGAGTTCACTCAGGTTATCAGACTTCTGAAATGCACTTGTGTTGATGTGTGGCACGAAACAAATTCCAGAAAGCAGGCACAATTTATTTTTTAACTGAAAACACAAACATGTAAACATGAAGACGAATGAAGCAAAACATTTCTTTCTCTCTCTGTATGTTTCTCTGACAATGATATGTGCATTTATGCTCCATTCAGTGCTTTCCCAGAGAAAAAAATGATCAGATTAAAAAAAACTTGCACAGTGTATGTGTGAGACACGTTCCAAATGTATATTTCGCATCTGTTTGTTTGTTGATTTCTGTGGATCAGTGCACATGACAGTGTTGGCATCATCTTACCACAACTTCTGAGAAATATGGCCCTGCCCTTCTCAAATAACTGACATTAGGACTGACATTTTTTTGTGAATAAAAGTTGAAGCTGCTTTCACTCCTGATGTCTGAACATGAGTCAGAAGTTTTACAAATGTGGGATTTTATCAATCTGAGCCATGAAAGAATAAATGGTAAAATACTATTTGTCAGTATTAGTTTATTGCATTAGGTGTTATGAACTAACAATGATCAAGAACTTTTAATCATTAGTATATTATTATTATTATTAGAAACAATTATTAACAGTATTTATTAGCATTTATGATTATTATTAGCATGTATTAAGTAATTTTTATTGTGTAATTATAAATATTGTTCATAATACATTGTTAAATTATACAACTTGAAATGTTGAAATGTACATGTAGAAAATACCATTAAGTAGAAACTGATTAATCAACTTTGTAAAAATTGTTCATTGTTTGGTCATGATACTTCATACTATAGTTAACTGTACTTTAGTGTTACTGGAAAAATATTTTGATTTAAGAAAAAAAAAATTTTTTTGTTTCTACATTTTTTTTTTAGAGAATTAAGCACATGTACCTGACAATTCTGTAATGTGAAAAAAGTTATAATTATTTCAATAATTTCAAAATACAAAACAAATACTATGGTAGTAGTGCTATATCTGAAATTAAGTCGTTTATGGAAAGGATGACTTTTATTTCATTTTTATTGTGATGATTTGGGACCATGCTTAAAATATCACAATGCCAAAAAAAAAAAGTCTTGATGCAACCGAGTTCACTCAGGTTATCAGACTTCTGAAATGCACTTGTGTTGATGTGTGGCACGAAACAAATTCCAGAAAGCAGGCACAATTTATTTTTTAACTGAAAACACAAACATGTAAACATGAAGACGAATGAAGCAAAACATTTCTTTCTCTCTCTGTATGTTTCTCTGACAATGATATGTGCATTTATGCTCCATTCAGTGCTTTCCCAGAGAAAAAAATGATCAGATTAAAAAAAACTTCTACCACAGCATGAATGATAAGAGAATCTTTGATTTTGCTCAAAGTATTTATGAATGCTTACAGATCTCATCCAGTTTTCACACTTAATACACAGTTTTCACACTCGTATTTAAGTGTAATATTCTATATTAAATTTAATATTTAATATTCAACTTAAATATAAGAATGACATAATATCAAACCAAACAAAAGTGCACAATGTTTTGCAATGCTCCAGCCTGTATGAACATGGTTCATCTGTCCGAAATGGGTATTGAACTTTAGTGCAGATGTAATGTACTAAAACAAGACTCATTGTATCAGTCACATACTAAATACTGATTTACAAAACTTAAAAAAAACTTTTTTGTTGTTGTCCTTTTTAGAGCTGAAAAGCTATGAAAGCTGATTTCCACCATGGGATAAAAACCCAAAGATGTACCAAATCTTTTTATCTCACAATTCAGACTTTCATCCAACTCAGAATTGTGAAATAAAAAGTCGCAATTTTTTCCCCTATGCGGTAACAAGCTACCACAAAAAGCAACTTATCAGCAAACTGATTTTCACTGTTAAAAAAAAACAAATGGAAATGAATCTATATATTTAATTATATTATCTTCCACTCTACTCGGTCTCTACACCACAGTCTATATGGGTTATGGTGTGAACCTGCAGTGTGGACAGCTTCAGCTTCAGGCCTGAGTGTTTTCACTGAGCTGTTGGATGCGGTCTGCCAGCTGCAGACAGTGTAAGATCCTGCTCCTCTCCTCCTGGAGCTCCGCAGCAGACACTTCACCCTGCAGCTTCCGGCCGAACAGCACCAGATCCTGCATGAACAGCCCCACCGGCTCCCGCTGACCTGCAGGAAGCTCCGTGATGCTGGCATCCTGGAAGCGAAGGTGTATGTGTTTGGCTCTGCCCAGTCCTGGACCCCGCTCTTCAATCCAAGTTAGAGGTCTGCGTCAGAGAGAACTCTGATTAACTTGTGTGACACATGATCAAATTGGTGAAAAAAAAACAACATATTCATTTATATATGTGAAAACTTCACTTATAAGAATATACATTTTCTGAAAATGTTAATTTACATTTTAACTTTAAATCTTGGTGTTCATGGCAATGCTATTGTAAAGTTTAAAAAAATATATTAAAAAATTTTAATAAATGACATTTAAATAAAAACAAAAAACATTTGAAATGAATGAATGAAAGATGAAAAATTCCACAAACTTAAAATCTTGGTGTTTATAGCCATGTTATTTTCAGCTATTCATTAAAAAATATAATAAATTGAAATGAATGAATGAATAATAACAGGTGAAAAAAATCCCATAGATTGATGGCAGTAAGCAACCATTTTTCTTCATAAAATGTGTGTGTAAATTGTTTTAAAATTCATGTCTCACTCTGCATGACTATTTAACGTTTTATAACTTTAAGGAGGGAAAAAAAGTTCGGCAAAAGGCAGGATCGAACCCGGGTCGATCGCGTCAAAAAGCCAACGACACGCGCTTATCGATCTGCGCCACTGGAGCTAATGTTTTATAGCCACTTTTAACTAAATGTAAATATACACTCTGTATTTTTTAATCCATAGTAAGGGCAATTCATACAATACATTTAAACTGAGCTACTTTAATACCATCTCCGAACTTTCTACCACGACTCTGCTGTTCTTCGGCTGGTTCTTCCCTGTATACGTTGATTGACAGATGTCTCGTCCAGTCAGCGGTGAGTAATCCCAAACCAATGGCGCTGTCTCAAACTATACCTACCTCTTCCGGTTTGTCTGATTTGTCCTTGTGTTTTCTGACTTGTTCATTCGTTTTCGAATTTGTCGTTGTGTTTTCTGACTTGTTATAATGTTTTCTGAATTGTTGTTGTGCTTTCTGAATTGTTATTTTGTTTTTTAGACTTGCATTTGCGTTTGTAATTTGTTATTTTGTTTTCAGAATTGTGATTTGTTTAGCACGTCTCGGTCACCGTAGTTCTTAGAAAGAAATCGGAATCGACAAAAATCGGTATCGGCAGATCACACTAACAAAAAATCGGAAATCGGAATCGGCCAAGAAAATTGCAATCTGTGCATCTCTAATTAAAATTATTTTTATTTTCAATGTAAAAACAGCTGTCTGTGGCCGCAGTGTACTCACTTCTGCTGTCGGGTCAGTAAGTGTGCTGTCATCTTCATGTATTTGTTCTCTTTCTCCTCCACCAGAGATGCTGCAGTAACTGTGAGCTCCCCGAAAAGATCAACCAACCAGGTCAGTCTGGCAATACCACTGAAAGACGGGAACCCAAAATTTCGCTTCAGGGATCCACCTGAGAAGACAAAAATCACCATCACTACAAACCCTAGTGGAAGCCTTTAAAAAAGATATTATTCAGTCACTACCTGTGAAGTGCAGCGTTCCCTCCTCCAGCGTTTTCCCAGCTATGTCTTTTTTCAGCTGTTTGAAGTCAGGAGTGAGGAGTTCGATATGTTCTTCATGTAGCACCAGGCCTGAAGATACCATACAGAAGTTAAACATTCAACCATCCCGGAGGCAGAATCGTACTATTTAACTGCTTTATAATAACAAACTTCTACCATTTCAAATATTAACTCAGGCATCCCCAGAAGACAGGACAGAAACTCACCCTTCTGCTGAGCCAGATTCCACAGATCCACTGCAGACGTGTAGCTGAGGGTCATGGGATACTCGACACACACGTGCTTCCCCGCCTCCAGAAACTGCCTGAGATCGAGCAGATCAGGGGAGAGACGATCGTTTTAAAGGCAAGACACTCAAACGTGATCATTATTGGTCATGTGTGAGGAGGAAGTCTGTGTATCACCTGATGTACTCTTCATGGTTAGTGTTTTCAGTGCATATGAAGGCTGCATGGATGTCATCTCTGCTCAACGCCTCTGTCGTAGAGATCTGCTTCACACCCTGCTGATCTTCAAGATTCCTTCTAAACAAACACAAAACACCAGCAGAACTTTAGAGAGATTTAAGTACCGGTATATACACTACCAGTCAAAAGTTTTTGAACAGTAAGATTTTTTATGATTTTTAAAGAAGTCTCTTCTGCTCACCAAGCCTGCATTTATTTGACCCAAAGTACAGCAAAAACAGGAAAATTTAGAAATATTTTTCCTATTTAAAATAACTGTTTTCTATTTGAATATATTTTAAAATGTAATTTATTCCTGTGATTTCAAAGCTAAATTTTTTAGCATCATTATCATCATAAATTATATAGATATAGGCTATGCATCTTTTGTTCTATTATTATAACTTTTTTTCTCTCTTTAGAAAATGAGGGGGTTATTCCACCAAATACTGATCTCTTAACTCATATCATATCAGTCAACCACTATTACTGATGGATGCATATATGTGACCCTGGACCACAAAACCAGTCAGAAGTAGCACAGGTATATTTGTAGCAATAGCCAAAAATACATTGTATGGGTCATAATGATTGATTTTTTTAATGCCAAAAAGTATTAGGATATTAAGTAAAGATTATGTGCCATGAAGATATTTTGTAAATTTCCTACTGTAAATATCCCAAAACTAATTTTTTGATTAGTAATATGCATTGCTAAGAACTTCATTTGGACAACTTTAAAGGCGATTTTCTCAATATTTCGATTTTTTTGCACCCTCAGATTCCAGATTTTCAAATAGTTGTATCTCAGCCAAATATTGTCCTATCCTAGCAAACCATACAGCAATGGAAAGCTTATTTATTCAGCATTCAGATGATTGCCGAATAAAAATGTACCCTTATGACTGGTTTTGTGGTCCAGGGTCACATATGAGGAATAAAATTTTCAATATAAGTTCAAAATCATGTTTAAAGTGCAGATATCTCTTTTGCCATGTGTTTCGACATGGTACGTTTATGTATATTTATGGATTTCTACTGAAACTGCACACTAAGAACAGCACAGTAAATATTTGCCTTATGATATGAAATGGCTACGGTCCACAGAGAGCTTATCTTATTTTCTGTGAGGTCAAAAGAAACCAACATGTAACATGTAACACATACTGGTAAAAAATGTACAGCCTGAATGCACTGTAAGTCGCTTTGGATAAAAGTGTCTGCTAAATGCATAAATTATTATTATTAAATTAAATTATATGTGCTTTAAGCCAATCAGGCTTAATTTGTCTAATAAATCAAGTGTCTGTATGAATGTTTGGAAGATGTGCACTGACCTGGACACAAAGCCTCTGATGCTAAACTTCTCAGCAGTGCTGGACGGCAGAGGAGCGAGCAAGTCTCTCATTCTCACACATCCTGCGATGCCTATACCAACAACCACTGATCCCAACATCATTCCTGCAGGAACACAACATGCACGAGCAGAAAATCTGCATTAATTACATGCGTAACAAGTGAGTTTGTTCTGAACTTGATTTAAATGCTGTGTGGCATAATGTAAATGCAGCAGCTATGGAAAAGATCCACATCTACACTGTCCTTGCCCATAAGGATGATATTAAAACAAGTCAATACAAAGACACTATCATGAAAGAGCAGCACTTTTCTGAGAAACTGGTTTGAGAACTGAAGTTCTTGGTGTGTCTGCATGTGTGTCTGTCTGATAAAGCCTTGTTTAAGCTGCAACTAGAGTCGCACTTAATTTAAAAAATAAGTTGATATTTGACTTGGACAACCAAAGTGTTTTCTCTGAATATTGTATAAACAAATCCTGGTTATATTAGTTAACCATATACTGGGAAAATGGGAGACATAAAAAAAGAGGTTAAGTATTTTACATTTGTGCAGTTACTCCTCTTCAGAAGAGCAAATAATTAATGATTACTAATTTATTAATTTGAAAATATAAAATGATCTTTTGATTCAAGTTAAACATCACAAACTTTCCTGTCATGATGGTAATGACAGCAGAATTGAAGGCAATAATTTATATCTAGAATTTACCAACGATACACATAAACACCAATGCGAACATTTTTAATTATGTTTATGATTATATTTATTTTCCCATGACATAATGAATGAAAAAAAAATTATAGGAAAAAAAATCACAAACACACAAAGTAAATAAATAAATAAATTATATATGCATCGATGTATATATCCATGTAACAACACTAAACAGCAGGAACAGAAACAAGAAATTCGAGTTGGTTATGTAGAGATATAACGTTACGAGACAATTTCCTAATCATAAAACGGCTAGCAAAATACTGACAATGCATGTCTGTTTCCCCTTTTATAACTATGTTTTAATACTCGTGTTAATTAAATAACCAACAGCGTCACTTTAATTAACTAAATTCATCTGCATCGCGCCTAATAGAACGCGTAGAAAACGCGCAAATGTAAGATTACACAACGAGTAATGTCCATTCTTCTATATGCATAAGCACAAGCGCAAGATATAAATCTCCTCACCTCTGAATGTAGCCTACACAAAGAGCCTTCGGTGTGGATCTCTACAGCACCTGCGGGGAAATAAGAGGGATGAATGACATTATCCAGCGTGACTGGAAACAACTTTCGTAACTCTTTTCGTAACCCGCGTGCGTCTGACGTCACACGCTCCAGTCGCACGTGTTTCTGTTGTTGACCGATACAGACGATAAATAAACTGATTCTCAGAATTAGTGATGGAAAGTCCGGTTCTTTTCCGCGAACCGGTTCTTTCGGACAGTTCATTTCAATGAACCGGTAAAAAAAAAACGGTTCATCGGTTCTTTTACGCCCTAACGTAATCACGTCATTCGCGATGACGTAATGATATCAAGTCTATCGTCCCGGGCCGGGATGAAAATACACATTCAAATATATAAAGTCAGTAATCATAACTTCAGTCAGTTAAAACATCAACTAACTTCCTGTTTTGCAACTAAGCACCCAAATACAGTAACAGGCAGTGATGTGCATAAGAGGATTTAAGTCTTGAAGATATACTCAGAATGCTCAAGAGTTACTAACTTTACATCAATACTTTGCATCAACATCTTCATCATTTATTTAAATAAATCGCAGACTGAGTGTTTACAATGTGTTTCTTCAGATTATATTCATCGATGTTTGAATAAAGTTTTTCAAAGTAAAACGAACATGGCCGCTTCCTTAGCGCGCTGCTTTTAGTGTCACCAAATAAGTCCCTTTGGTTTTTGCTTATAAAAGAAATAATAGATGTGACGGTGAGTTGTTATTATTATGAACGGACCTTGATGTCGATGTATGAACGAATAAGGGCTCAATTCTGGGAAATTAGGTGTATTTTGACAATAACCCTTACAATAAACCTTGCTACAGTAGTCATCTTTAAGACGAATGCAGTGTTGTAAAATAAGTATTTTTATATATATATATATATATATATTTGTCAAATAAATTTACCATACTAAATGTATGTATTAACATGCTTTTTTAGAGAATGTCCCATGGTAGTAATGTCTTTCAAGGACGTTGGTGTACCATATAAATACCATGGGGTGTGTGTGTGTATATAAATACATAAAATACATGGGCACAATTTACATTTGTGTATAAAATTAATTTCAAGCACTGAAGCAGAAACTTTTAGATCTAAAGGTATTTTATAATCATGGGGAAAATGTATTTATATATTCAGTTTATATTATTTGGTCAGTTCAATTTTTTATATTACTGCCGTTTTTTTAGATTTTTCCTCCAGCCAAAAGATATTTGCTCCATCTGAAGTGAGGATGAGCCGCTCCACCAGCCTCCTGCAGCAGATGACCATATTTGTGACAGTAGTGACCGGCGGCGGCTGTGCTATGATGTATTACCTCATGCAGAGTAAGTCAGGGCTAATTAAAGCATCTGTTAGCTGTTAAACATTGTGTGATTTTTGTTCCGTTTCTTTCAGAAAATTTTGCAAAATCAGAGCATTATCGTCTGGCCCTTGAACAGCTGAACAATAATTCCTCTGCCATGGCCAGTCTGGGCGCTCCTCCTCTGAAGATACACAACATCCATTTATCTGACCGACACAACCGCATTGACCACAGCAGCGCTCAGGTCAGCATCACCAATAAACCCTCCTCCATGAAGTACATCAGAAATACTTGCTTTACTACTGGTCAGAAATATATTAATCATCATATATATCAATTTCAGCTGAAGATCCCAGTTACCGGGTCAAAGACTGGAGGTTATCTCTACACTACTTCCACCAGAGACGCTATCATGAACAGGTACCATGATTTCAACTTTTTAAATAAATAAATGAACACACATTTTTATGTTGCATATATGATTTATATAATCATCTTAACCTCTTTTGTCAATAGATGGCACCTCCAGCAAGTGTTCCTGAAGCTGAGGGAAGGCGAGATCATCGAGATTTTCAACAAGAGAAAATCTGAAGAGTAACTACACACAGAAACATTTCATCAATGTTAAACAGACAACAAATGCAAGTGGAGCCTTGGACTGTTAATAGATGATTGACAGCCTGTTTTTTTTTTTAACTAATGTGATTATGGCATTCACATATATTTGTCTACTTGAAATGTTAATATATTTGTTTGGGGTGTATGGGAGCTGTGTCATGTGAAGCATTTTATTTTGGGGCAGCTTGGACAGATTTTGATGTGTTTAGTATTTTTTTGCTATTTTATGTGCTTCATTAAAGAACGATGATGTAAAAATCATACGCTGTAATTTTGTTTTATCATCTTTGTATTACGTATGTCTTTATATACACATAGACACACACATACATTAAATTATAAACAATTCTACTAAATTAAATATATGCAGTAGTCATTTAAAGCAGGTCTGATCATATTATTGTGGAAGCAGGGTCACGTAAAAGAATAATAACCTTAATCTGTTTGACTTTCCACTTTAAAATGTGTATGAAACATGAATAATACAATTCAATCCAGCTTGTAATACCAACACTGGGTTCTTTGGATCATCTGTTGTTCCATTGACGTGATTAGTATAGTAACGTTGTAGTTACTAAACTTTACCAGTAGGTGTCAGTAAAAGATTATTATTCTGTAACCCTTGAATTTTGAATAATTCAGATTTGAATAAATAAAAAAATCCAATTTGATTTTGTGAAAGATGCAACCTATAGAGAAAACAAGTGCATTTTGTTCAAGTGCTGTAAGTCATGTGATTAAGTTAGACTAGTCTTCATTAGTGAAGAGCTTTACAGACAACTTGTGCCAGTTATTTAAATTTTATCTTAAACTTTCCTTGTTCACAGGAAATAAAACTGCATTTTGCTTGAAGTATCATGGCTGTAAGTATAATTCAGTCATGTACTGAAATATTTCTCTTGGTACTTCTGTCATCTTTTGACAAATTTAAACCAAGTTTAATTCATAATAACCATTAAGTATCATAAATCTACATTCACAGGAGTGACTTCATCCACAGAAACACAGTGACCCAGTTTAGCCACATGGCCTGTAGTTTCTTCAGACTCCCACCACTTTTTTCCCAGTTTTTTTGGTTGAAAGATTGAGGCCAGAAAACCTTATGAGCCCAAAATGTTTAAATAAAAATAATGTTTAAAACACTTAAAGCTATGACGATGATGATAATAATAATAATTAAAGCTGCAAGCAGCGATGAAAGGGCCCTCTCACCCGGGCTCACTGCCACCCCTTGGCTTTAGGAAAACAGCAAACGGTGGGCAATATGCATTTAAAGTGGTAAATATAGGAGGAATATGTCAAAGTAACTTATATGTGCCAAACTTCCTGCTGCCAGCTGGTGGCGCTATGATTATAACTGGACGTTGGCCCAACAGGTGGCGCTATGATTATAACTGAATATTGACATGTAGATGTCTTCAGGCCAGTATTCTTACCAAACGTGAAGTTTGGGGCAGATTGGACATTGCATGTTTAAGTTAGTGTGAAACAAGTCACTTCCTGTTAGCAGTAGGTGGTGCTATATCTATAACCGAATATGATCATGTAGATGGCTTCAGGCCAGGACTCTAATCAAACATGTGAAGTTTGAGGCAGATTGGACATTGTATGCATGAGTTACAACAACTTCCTGTTTAATGGCATTAATAGCATGCTTTAGCACTTAATAAGTGTTGCTAGCATGTTTGAGGCATGTTTAGCACACAATGGCATATTTTACTGTGTAGCTAATTGTGCAGCACAGTGTTAAACATGTCACTTCCTGTTGCCAATAGGTGGCGCTATAACTGTAACCGAATATGAGCATGTAG